GCAATCCCTTCTCCTCCATTCTCCTCTCAGGATCTTGGGCACGCATGCACACGCGCTCGGTGTGAGTTTAAGCCACCGGGTCTGGGACGCGAACTGCAGTCAACTATGTGGGAGTCCAGCGACATAGCCATTACACTAACTGCTGGTCCCAAAACAAAATAATTCTTTAAAAAAAAAAAATAGGGGCCAGCAGGTGGCATGGTGGTTAAGGATGCTAGACTCCCACATGGCCAACCGCAGTTTGAGTCCCAAACCTGGTGGCTTGCTTTCTCACTTTCCCTCTCTCTCTCTCTCTCTCTCAATCTCACTCTGTCCCTCTCTGATAAAATTAAAAATAAATAAATAGGGGCCAGCAGGTGGCATGGTGGTGCTGGACACTCCCACGTGGTCAATCACAGTGTGAGTCCCGGAGCTGGTGGCTTGCTGTCTCATTTTCCTTCTCTCTTTGTGCCTGTCTTTCTCTGGTCTTTGTACCTGTCTTTCTCTGGTCAAATTAAAATAAATGAATGAATAAAGAAAATTAAATAAATAATTATAAAAAATATTCTTAAAGAAAAAAGAAAAATAAATACATAACGGAGTTAAATAAAATAATTCTTTAAAAATAAATTAAATAAACAAAGTTAAATAAAATAATTCTTTAAAAATAAATTAAATAAACAAAGTTAAATAAAATAATTCTTTTAAAAATACATCAGTCAACATTCTTAAATATTTGATAAGAAATAATGAATAAATGTATACCAACAAAATTATCAATGACTCCTGATTCTAGAGAAGTTCTATTTTTAATTTTACAGAAAAACTACGGCTTTTATTTTATTTTATTTATTTATTTTTTTATTTTTGGAGGGGAGAGGGTTTTGCTATGGGGCAAAAAAAAGCGCTGTCTTCTGCTTGTCAGAAAGACAGAAACAGAGAGACAGAAAGTGAGAAATCATCCCCCAGCAATCCCTTCTCCATTCTCCTCTTGGGATCTTGGGCACACACACACACACACCCAGCATGAGTTTAAACCACCAGGCCCAGGACTCAAACTGCGGTCGACGACATGGGAGTCCAGTGACATAGCCATTATGCCAACTGCTGGTCCCCATTTTCTTAAATTCTTAATCAAGCTGAAATGCTTGAAAAGAAAGATAATACAGCAACCTTTTTTTAAGGTTTTTTTTTTTTTTTTTTTGGCTATGGGACACATGCACCACCAGGGAGAGACAGAGAGAGGGAAAGTGAGAGATCATCCCCAAAGGGAAATGGCCAGGCTGCAACCCTTTCTCCTCCAGCCTCCTCCTGGGATTTTGGGCAAGCACTAAACTCCAGCACCTCCCAGGAGCTCCATTTCCATCTTCCTTTTTTTTTTTTTTAAAGAATTATTTATTTAGTTTTAATTCCATTTGTTCTATATTACTTTTTAATTTGACCAGAGAGAGAGAAAGGGAAAGCAAGAAAGCAAGCCACAGGTCCAGGACTCGAACTGCAGTCAGCCATGTTGGAATCCAGTGCCTTTAACCACCATGCCACCTGCCAGCCCCCAGCATGATTTTCAAGTCGCCAGGTCTGGGACTTGAACTGTGGTAGACGATCTGGGAGTCCAACACCTTAACCACCATCTCACCTGCTGGCTTCCACAGCAACTTTTTTTCTCCAGAGGTCTGTGAGATGCAGACAACTGGGCACGCCTTCACAGGCATGACAACTTCTACTTTACTTTAGGATTACTTATGACAAATCTGCCAAGAACTTCAACCGCAGAATTTGCTTCCATTTTTTTTTTCTTAACATTTATTTACTTATTTACGTATTTATTTGTTGTGATTTTTCAAGCTGCCAAGCCCAGGACTCAGCCCACAGTTGGTCATGTGGGAATCCAGCACCTTAACCACCATGCCACCTGCTGGCCCCAGAATTTACTTCTGATGAGACCAGCAGTTGCATAATGGCTATGTCGCTGGACTTCCACTTAATTTGACTGTGGTTCAAGTCCTGGACTCAGTGGCTTAAACTCACATCGGGCACGTGTGCGTGCGTGCCCAAGATCCCGAGAGGAGAATGGAGGAGAAAGGATTGTGGCATGGCCATCCCCCCTGGGGGGTGATTTCTCACTTTCTGTCTCTCTGTCTGTCTCTGTCTGTCTGTCGAGTGCACGCGCCCTATAGCAAAAATCTCTCCAAAAAAAATAATAATTTACTTCTGACTGATCACCTTTGTGACCCTTGAAAGTGCCCAGGACCACCTCTGAGTTTCTAACTGGTCTAAAGAGGAACTGAGATGTTGGTATATTTTATAAGTTTATAATAGGATTTTTTTTTGCATTTAATCATTGTATGTCTTTATATGATACAAGTTCTCAAGCCATAAATGCACTGCATGTCAAGCAAGTCAAAGATATTACCATACACAACTTTCCATTCTTGTCTGTTACAATGTTTTGGGGGGCCAGCAGGTGGCATAGTGATTAAGGCACTGGACTCCCAGCTGATCAACCATGGTTTCAGTTCCATGCCCCTGTGTGTGCATGCATGTTCAAAATCCCAAGAGAAGAAGCAACAGAGGTGTGGCCATCCCCCCTTCAGGGAGATTTCTTGCTTTCTGTCTCTTTCTCTTTATGTCTCTGGCAAGCCCTATAGCAAAAATCTCTTTTAAAAAGACTTTTTTTTTCCCTGAGCCCTTCCCTCCCACTGGCTCCAACAGGATTCTTATTTGTGGCCTGGGCTTAGAACTACTGAGCCCTGGGACCAGCAGTTGGCATAATGGCTATGTCGCTGGACTCCCATGTAGTCGACCATGGTTTGCGTCCCAGACCCGGTGGCTTAAACTCACGCTAGGCGTGTGTGCATGTGTGCCCAAGATCCCAAGAGGAGAAAGGAGGAGAAGGGATTGTGGCGTGGCCATCCCCCCTGTGGGGTGATTTCTCGCTTTCTGTCTCTCGGTCTGTCTCTGTCTGGCAAGCATGCGTCCTATAGCAAAACCTCTCAAAAAAAAAAAAAACACAAAACAAACAAACAAACAACAACAACAACAACAAAAACTCCCACTACTGAGCCCTAAGTATTCTTGGTACTAATAAATATTTAATGAATCAGCGAATAAATTAACACAGTGCCTCCCTTGATAGTCACAACAGCGGAAAGGGAGCTGATAAATACCATCCACATTTTACAGCTGGAGTAACAGAGAGAGAAGGCTACTGTCACTGCCACCTCAGTGAAGCCAGCACCCTGAGAACTACTCCTCACCGGAGAGAGCGACTGGCCCCACCACGAGTAGTTTTCCTCTAACCTGGCTCAAATGGGGGCTCAGGACTAAGCGCGGAGCTGTGGGCAGGTGTGAGCTTCAGGGTGGGTGCCGAGTTTGCCTCCCTGACCGAGGGGGTTTCTCTCTCAGGAGGAGGGCAGAGAGGGAGCTGTGGGGACCCAGGGAGCAGGAGCTGGGCTGAGGTTGTCTGTCTGGTTCCCGTAAAATCCCTATCCCAGCTGGCCTCCTCTGTGAAGACAAGGCCCTTGCAGATAACCGGGTCAGATCCTGCCCATTCGTGCAGTATCCACCCACTCCCTCCCCGCGCGCGGCCAGCCAAGCGCCGGCCCCTGGGCCTCAAACGGCGCTGCACCTGGCCATCTGCGGCCGCGCGGTGCATGCACGGAGTCTCCCGCCGCGTCCTGCCCGACCACGCTCGCCCACGGTTCGGAGACCACAATGAGTCTGCGCGTCCCCAAGGGCCTTGGGGAAGCGACTGTCGGGCAAGATACACGCTTGGGGTGCCAAGGCCTTCCTCTGCAGGTCGCCGCAGCGCCGGATGTGGGCGGGCGGGCTCGAAAGGCTGGTTTTGAACCGCAAAGGTGGGAGTGCCTAGCAAGGTACGGATTTGGGGGGAGTGGGGAAAAACAGTTTCTGCTTCCGAACCCCACCCAACCACATCACCTTAGAGGTTTCTCAAGGACTGGCACCAGAAACCCCTGCCTGTGCAAGGTGCAAGGTCCAGCCCTTCGGAACCGCGAAGTCCCGCCCCCAAGCTGTAGGGTGGTTTTTGGTTTTTTTTTTTTTAAACTGGGCAAGGGCTAAAG